TGGACCTGAATTCCATCTCCAGATACTTGGATTGCCCACACACGGACCTGAATTCCACCTCCAGATACTTGAATTGCACACACATGGACCTGAATTCCACTTCCAGATACTTGAATTGCACACACACGGACCTGAATTCCATGTCCAGACCCATGTAAAATGCTGGATGTGGTGGCCCCTGCTCATAATCCCAGCACTAGGGAGACAGAGACATGAAGATCCCTGAGGCTCAATGGTCAGCCAATCTAGTCCAGTTGGTGAGCTCCAGGCCAATGACAGACTCTGTCTCAAAAGGAAGTAGGCTGTGTTCCTGAGAATGATACCCCCAAGGCTGTCATTCAGCTACACACATGTGCATACACACACACACACACACACACACATGCACACACACGTGCATCCATGCACACCCACATACATACATGTGCACCTATGCACACCCACATACTCACACACAAAAAAGAAAAGGAAGCTGGCATCCCTGACTTCAGTTCTGTTCCAACCATTCGCTAAGACAACAATAATAGTAACAATGGTGATGATGACTGTGTGACCTTGGACAGGCTAACGAAGTCTCGGTTTCTCCTTTATTCAATATGAGGGGTTGTACAGAGCAATGTCTCAAGTCCCTATGGGTTCTAACGGTCTGGGTTTGCAGCGGAAGGGAAGAAGGGCTAACCAACTCGCTGAAGGATCTGCTCCGGATTCTCAGATAAGGACCTCCGCCACATCTTGTCCAGGCCCTTGCCTTTAGCTCCCCCAAGAAGGAGGGTCACACCCACACCTCCATCAGCTGGTTCAGAGTCCCCTGACTTCTTAAGAGTTTGTTGCCTTCTAGCTAGCTCATGGATGAGATGGTAATAGCAAGGAGTCCCTGGTTCCTGCTCCTTGTTACCACCCCTGCTGATAGGGCTGGGCTTCTCCATCCCACCTGAAGCAGGCAATTATCAATTATCAGGATGTGAAGAGGAATGGCCAGGACCCTTCCAGAAGGTACACTGCTCCTGTCTGGTGGGTGCACATGCCTATCTTAGTCAGTCCTTTGGACCCCCACAGGATTCCCCAAAACCCTTCAGGAAAGTCGGGAGACAGCGGAATCTGAGGGGCATCCGAGTTGGAGACAATGGGTCTGAGCCTCTTACCTCCTTATCCAGAGATGCCTCGAGGTGCAGGGGCTTGTCTGACATAAGGAACTGCCTGGTGGTCTCGGCTGTGGGCTGAGGGCCAGGCCTCTCTGGGGCATACTGAACCTTCCGGATGACTAGCCGCACTGAATTTCTAAGGGAGGAAGACAAGAGTCGCCGGTCTCCAGGCATTGTTTCTGTACCTGCACCTCTCTCGACAGGCTCCTGGGGCTCCCCATTGCCTGCCAACCACAGAGGTCAGCCTGGAGGGCTTGTCACCATGTGACTCTGCTCCGGCCTCCTCCCTTCTGTCCCTGGGCCACCCCCACTTCTTCTGGGTCCATGTCCCAGTACCCAGCACAATCGTAAGAAGAGGACTCTTTTACTTCTCGCCCCCTTTGTCTCCTGATAGCGTACGCTGCTTGAGGATGGGAACTCCTTGTCTGGTTTGTCCACTACCATAGTCTCAGCACGTATGGCTGTACCACCACACTGCAGCCTGTGTGTTAAAGACCCGCTAAGTGGAAATACGCAGGGTGGACAGGCCCCCATGAGAGGTGGAGGATTTCTTTACAGGATGTAGATTCAGCCAGGGACGTGCGGGACAGTGGAGAGGTGATCTGGTGAAGCCCATGGATAAGAATGGTTCAGTGGAGGTTCCATGGCTTAGGGTATAAGCAAACTGAACTGAATTGAACTGTTGAGGGGACAGGGAGTCAGTTGCACACCCTCGGTGGCACACGAGAAATACCAGCACCCCCATTTCTCCAACAAGCCACCTCCGTTCCCTGGAACCTAAGAGTCTTCGTGAACTACATGACCTGAGGAAATTACCTCCCTTTGCCTCAGTTTCTTCATCTGTACAACAGTGACAACCCCACTTAACCCCTTAGGGCCAGAACCAACTCAGCATTTAAGAACTGGCAACTATTTTATCCGTAATACTAGTGAGTCTTGGGAGTAGATTAAGATGTCCCATGGGGATAGGGTGAGGGTGGTGACCCTCAAGGTTGCCTGCTGTTCGCTGTTCTACTCAAGACCCCCCTCACATTCCACAACACTTAGGTCCTCTTCATCTGAGGTCTTAAGGGGAAAACCAAGACAGAGAAGCAAGAGAGGAGTCTAATCCACCCCCACCCCACACAGGAGCTGCCAAGTTGCAGCTTGAAACGATTGTAATACAGCTAGTCACCACCAGGTGGCAGACTCCTCCGTAAGAGGCTGGTGGACGTCCCTCAGGGGGCTGGTCTAGGAACTGGATTTAGGATGCAGAGGGGTCAGAACAGTGGTTAAAGCCAGGAGACTGAAGGTCCTGAACCCCAGGAAAGGCAGCCGTGACAGATCCGGGCCAGCTGTTTTCCTCTCTCTCTGCCGAGCACGGCGAGAAAATGTCCCTCCCCTGCGGCCAGACTGAGAACTAAAGTGGGCGGGGACGGGGATGGACATTTTCTGGGCGTGCTCGGCAGAGAGAGAGGAAAACAGCTGGCCCGGATCTGTCACGGCTGCCTTTCCTGGGGTTCAGGACCTTCAGTCTCCTGGCTTTAACCACT